TCTCAGCAAACTTACTCCAGGACAAGGTGTGTGGATTAAAGATCAAGGTACGAGTGGAACAGTGGTTACCAGTCATTCTACTCCACGCTCATACATTGTGGAAGGACCTCAGGGGTCGATTAGGCGAAATCGTCGTCATCTGGTTGGCATGGAGCCTTCGACGGAGCCAGAAGTACCGGAAGGTGATGTTGCTGCAGAACAAGTGCAACCGAGTTCTGAAGAACCTCCACAGCAGAGCCTTCCTGAACTTTCACCCACTCCTAGAACCAGGTTAGGGAGACGGGTTGTGAAACCAGATAGACTGAATTTGTAGAAAAAGAAAATATGCTAGAAGTTGAGAATGATTAAATATGTATTTCTATTTATATATTTTTTCCTAGCTCTAGGTAGGAACAGACCTTCCAGCCACAGAGGCAGAATAATCCTCTAAGGTCTGTTGAATCAATGGTAGTCCACCCACTGATTCTAGAGAGGAGAGATGTGGTGTTAATGTTATGCATGTTTAAAAACTACAAATGGCCGCCTGCGATGACATCATAAAAGGGAGCTTCAGGCTCAGGCAGGCAGGTGATGCTGATTGTGTGATGAGGCCTATGCATGATGTTTGGAGGATCGGAGAATAAAAAGCGTTATCGATGACACAGTTGGACTCATGCACTCTTTTCTTTAAATAACACGACAAGTATCATCAAAATAAAAAAATATTCAATATTTAGATCTCATTTAAAGTTCATGAAAGTAATATTTTAATAACCCTCAGAATTACTTTTTATGGTGAATGTTCTTCCCTTGGCTTTGTAACTTCACTAGCCAAAAATGGCTAAACATGGAGATTAAAGATGGCCGCCATCATCCGCTTTCAAGTTTGAAAACAGATTTTCAAACTTGAAATTCAGAGTCCAACATGCTTGTTACCTCAGTATCTTCCTACCTGGAGACGTCTCTCGGTCCGCCGCTCCAGGAATTGTTTCCGGTCTTTCGATGAGTCCAGCAGATCCTCACTTCATTAAAGAGATCCTCTTCATGTCCATCTTCGGCCTGCTGCTGATTACGGCCGCCATTTTGTTATTCAGACGTTTAAATAGAAGCTTCTGAGGCCGAGGTCGGTCTGCCGCGCTGCGATGCGCTTAAACACCAAAATGTCTTCCGTAACTAAAAGAGGGAAGAACTAAAAACAACTTCTAAAAGGTTTCCGAAATGTACAGGAACATAATCCCCATCTCTTCCTTGAGCCCTGCGCTCCTTCACTCCGCCAGCAGGTGGAGTAAAGGCGCCTTCTTCTTCTTCTTCTTCTTTTTGTTTCTTCTTCTTCTCTTTTTAATGGCGGTTGGAAACCAACAGAAATGGAACATTACCGCCACCAACTGGGCTGGTTTGTAGACAGGAAATTAATGAGCAAAAAAGTAAAATAACTCAAACATATTTCTAATGATAAATATAAATAAATAGGAGTTAACTAAGTTATCTTTTTTATTTGTGTTTTTCAAAAAAATAAACTGATTTGACCATTTATTTTACTTAAAAATGTTTTTAATCGTAAATGTGATTCACACTTCCTGTAACTCCTGATTCCAGAAACACGTTTCAGGCAGAATGCAGTTATTTTTTACACATCCATTTAATATTCTGTTCAACTGCAGAACATTGGCTCTTCCATTATTTAGATTAATTATTTAGAATAATTATTTAGATTAACTACACACAGATGGGTGTTTGAAAGACTTTATTTAATGAAAACATGACATTTAAAATCAGAATGTCTTATTTTAAGAGACGTTTTGAGGTTATAAGACGTCTTTACCGCATGTAGCCTCAAGTCAAACCTGACCCCCTCCATTCAATTTATAGTTATATTTCCAATTTATTATAATTGTCTTTCCTGTATAATGTGCATTGTATCTATCCTAAAATTACGTTAACGTATATTGAAGGAGAATATTAAATAAACGTCCGAGAACCTATTTGATTTAGAATTTAAAATATAACGCACACTGCAGAATCTGAATATTTTCTGTAATTTATGTCTACTGAATATTTTACCTCAGACAGAAGCTGGAGGAACAGAAAGTGACTGGAGACGATCTGAGCTGCAGGAAGCAGTCAGATAGACTAAAAGACAAAAAGTTGTTTGTTTCAGAAATAATTTCCTTCTTTGGAATTTTATTTACAAATTTCTGTGATTATCTTCAGTTGGAGCAAACATGGGCGTCTGCCCTTTGACCTTTCTGGGAAGTAATTGTGCTTTAATCGGAGATGCTATAGAAAATGCAGACTGTTAAATGCAAATATGTTTGTTTCATACATCATCTACATAATTATTGTTGTTATAATTATGGAAACATGTCCATAAAATGACAGAAAAGGACGATTAAGAAAATGTCTTTATGTTTTCAACAGCAGTCGTGATGCAAATGCAGGCAGTATGCAAAAAGACGAGCAGGCGGCAACTAATGCAAAGTTGATGAAAACTAAAGGAAAACAGCCTGAAGACAGAACCAGAACCAGAACCAGAACCGCATCCGCCTGAAGGAAAACACAAACTGTCCCTTTCAACCTGACAGACTCTCACACTGAAATGTTTTCACAGCTAAAAGATAACTCAGATATTCAAACTGAGGTTTTAATTTGCTGCCAGAATTAGAAGCTCATTGTAATTCTGGCACCAAACTCGTTCCGTAGGTTCTGCATCATTTTGTTTTTTCAGGTTTCTTCATGTCAAACAGAAAAACAAACACAAACTAGTTCCCATCAGTTTGATATTGATGAAACAGAAGACAATCAGAAAAGCAGATAAATGATATCTGACTCTGATGATATTGATTGTTGGATCAATTTATTCTTTATTTATCCATTTGAATTTTGTTAGTTGATTCTTAAATTTAAATGTTTTATATTATTTACAGAGTTTATTTGTAGGTTAATAATTGTTGATTTGATTTATTTTTGTTTTATTACTTTTCTTATGTATCTTCCAGGTAAGACAGGAAAGAATGTGGGTTGGTCCACTTTCTGTCGGTGCCGTTGCCCAGTGGCCCGGTGCCCCGGGGCCGGTTCCCGTGTCGGTTCCCGTGTCGGTTCCCGTGTCGGTTCCCGTGTCGGTTCCAGTGCCGGTGCCGGACCAGCAGGCGTTTGGGTTCTGTGGTTTTAGAGCAGAAAGAAGAAAGGAAAGTTTGAACTTTGCTGAAATGGGAAAATAAATCATGCAGAACAATCAGTGAAGCTTCTGCTGCCTGCATACAGAAGCTTCACTCAGTGAAGGAACTTTTATTGGATGTTTGGCTTGGCAACTATCATCACTACATTGATTATTATGGGATGAATCTGCATGTTTTTCAGCTTCAAGCCAAGAAGAAAATGTTAAAAACTGGATTCTGCTGTTTGTTGTTTTGCTGCTGAAGTCAAATGAGAAATTTGGGATTTAAATAAGATTCAACGTGTTTGTACTTTTAGAGCCAAGTGTCAAAATAAACTTTCTCCAGAAATGCAAAAAGGTTGTACAAGATTTTGCATGTTCCTGGTAAAAGTGGAGAAGCGGAAATGCTGCAGTCAGACTGAAGAGGAGCGATGGAGACGATGCTGCTGGTCCTGCTGGTCCTGCTGGCTGCAGCAGGTAGGAGACGAGTTCAGATCTTCAGCTGGGACGGGGGCTGGATGAGACATAAGAGACAAAGTATGTAAAGCAGCAGTTCAGCCTGTTTCTGAATGAATACAAAAGTTTTTGATGTTTATGCATAAAAAAGTAAAGATGGGGGAAAAAATCTTCCAAATGTAGAAACAGGTTTATCTCCGTTAATTTAAATATCACTGCAAAGTTTATTTTACTTTCAAAACTGAATAAAATATTTCCCTGAAGGAAACAGAGTTTAACATAGAAATATGATCAAGTTGTCGTACAAGATCAACAACAGAAGTCGGTGAAACCTTCCACAAAGAACAATCATTGAAAGTTGAGTGGAAGGAAAAAGTGTGGATTAAAAAATGTGCAGCTGCAGATAAACGATCAAATGAAATCCATTCATAAGTTTGATTCAAAATGTTTGGACCTCAGATGCAGTCAGAACTTCAATGTCCGACATCAGAACCGCTTGGCCCAGATTGAGCAGAACCAGAACCTGAAGGCCTCAGAGGCTGAAGGAGGAGCAGAGGAACCAGAACCAGGAGTCGCCTACCGGTTCTGGTCCACTGGGTCTGCTGGAGTCAGCTCAGTTCAGCAGGAATCAAATCTGGTTTACTGATCTGATCAAATATTATACATTTTAAATGATCTTCGATTTCATATCAATATTTTTGCTGATCCTGATTCTGAGTCTCAAAATCAGTTTGCATGAAATTTGCATCGTTGATGATTCTGCCTGAACGTCTTTAAAATTAGTTTATTTAAGCGAGAGGAACCAACCAGCAGTCTTTATGTCTCCAGTCTTCATATCTCCAGTCTTTATGTCTCCAGTCTTTATGTCTCCAGTCTTCATGTCTCCAGTCTTCATATCTCCAGTCTTTATGTCTCCAGTCTTTATGTCTCCAGTCTTCATGTCTCCAGTCTTTATGTCTCCAGTCTTTATGTCTCCAGTCTTCATGTCTCCAGTCTTTATGTCTCCAGTCTTCATGTCTCCAGTCTTTATGTCTCCAGTCTTTATGTCTCCAGTCTTCATGTCTCCAGTCTTTATGTCTCCAGTCTTTATGTCTCCAGTCTTCATGTCTCCAGTCTTCATGTCTCCAGTCTTTATGTCTCCAGTCTTTATGTCTCCAGTCTTTATGTCTCCAGTCTTTATGTCTCCAGTCTTCATGTCTCCAGTCTTTATGTCTCCAGTCTTCATGTCTCCAGTCTTCAAGTCTCCGGTCTTCATGTCTCCGGTCTTTATGTCTCCAGTCTTTATGTCTCCAGTCTTTATGTCTCCAGTCTTCAAGTCTCCGGTCTTCATGTCTCCGGTCTTCATGTCTCCAGTCTTTATGTCTCCAGTCTTCATATCTCCAGTCTTTATGTCTCCAGTCTTTATGTCTCCAGTCTTTATGTCTCCAGTCTTCATGTCTCCAGTCTTCAAGTCTCCAGTCTTCATGTCTCCAGTTTCTCCTCTGTGTCTCTCAGTCGTTGACGCCCAGACCAGGTTAGTCGGTCCATCACGGTGTTCTGGGAGGGTGGAGGTCTTCCACGATGGAGTCTGGGGGACGGTGTGTGATGACAGCTGGGACCTGACCGACGCTGCGGTGGTCTGCAGGGAGCTGGACTGCGACCTCCCACAGAGAGCCCTCATGGTCGCCTACTTTGGTGAAGGAACCGACCCGATCTGGCTGGACGACGTGTCCTGCTCCGGAACCGAGAGCAGCTTGGCTGATTGTCCCCACAACGGATTTGGACACCATAACTGTGGACATGGAGAAGACGCCGGTGTCATCTGTGAAAGTAAGACGACATGAATGACTGCAGGTAAAATCTTCTTCTGTGAAAACTGGATTCAGCATCAAACCCAGCAGCTCAGTTTGCTTCAAGATCAGGAGAGATTTACAAACTGCGCAGTCCGCTCAGCATTTTTCAAACAATGACTTTTCCTGCCATGAATCCGACTGAGCAAAGACAAAAATGATCTGCTGGCTTTAGTTTGGCTTCTTCCTGACGCTCTGCATCTGTGCGCTCGTTTTAACTTTGACACTAGGGGGCAGCAAAGAGCGTCTTTTTAACGACATGTTGAAAGATGTAAGAAAAAAACATTAAGCCCCTTAAGCACCGGGCCCGGCTCGGTTCTACTGGGCCCGGCCCCGGCTCGGTTCTACTGGGCCCGGCCCCGGCTCGGTTCCGCCGGCCCGGCCCCGGCTCGGTTCTACTGGGCCCGGCCCCGGCTCGGTTCTACTGGGCCCGGCCCCGGCTCGGTTCTACTGGGCCCGGCCCGGCTCGCTTTCCGAACGTTTCCACGGCTCAGACCTTATCTGGAAATGGGACCATTGCACTCCAGAAGTGAAGGGGCGCTATTTCCCTGGGATGACTTGATCCGAGCTTATCAGAACCAACCTGGCATCTGGGCCAAGTTATCAAGGTCGAGGCATCATGAGGCTCTGAGTTGATTATTGATTGTCGGTTTTGTTCAAATCTTTAGGAATCTTTAGGAAGGTGGTGAGACTGAAGGTTCTGCAGGATTCCTTTCTGGACCTGAGCGACCCGGCGGTGCTGGACGAGTTTCTGAACCAGGTGAACCCTGAGGACACGATCCATCTTTAGTTATTGTTCTGAACTGATGAAAGTAACGTTTCAGCTTTAACTTCTCCTCTTCTTGTTCCGTCTTTAGGATCTTTGCTCGTTTTGACTCGGTTCTGTTTCTTGTTCTTCTGCTGCTCCCAGAAAAACTTGCAGACATTTAGTTTCCTGAACACTGAAGGGTTCGTTGATGAACAAACTAAACTTTAGTTTATTGTTTCAGCTGAAAGAGAAGCTGCAGGAGCTGAACGAACACGTGGAACTGAGCTGGATGACTTCAGATGGAAACATCTTCAAAAAGGATGAAGGACAAAACTGAAGAGCAGAATAAAGTCCCAGTTCGTTTCCTGACTGATTTGTGTTTGTAACCATCAGATGCTGTTGCATAATTAAAGTTCCTTCCAACCTGAACTTCACATAAAATCAGTAAATTAAAACATAACATGACCAAATATTGAATATTTTAGAGTGAAGCTCTGAAATGTAATGATTAAGATCCAACTGAAGGCTGTAAACCAACCCTAACCCTGAGTACGAACAGCAGGTTGACTTCTTCCACTCCATCCTCCTCATCCTCATCAAACTGCAACACAAACATCAAACTGGCATTTATATTACAATAAAAAGTCATTATTTACCATTTAAGCAATATTGAGGATGCCACAAGGAACAGGCGAGGAGGAGTTCCAGGCGAAGATCCGTCTGTTTGGGTTTGAATATGTTTTAATGAACTGCTGATGATCTGCTTGGTTCTGATCCTGGTTCTGATCCAAGCAGACTCTTGATACTCTGATCATCTTGTAATCACAAACATATAACGGACATTTTATCACTTCATGCCTTCAAGTTCAGTTATTTCCTGTTACATGATGCAGACCTGACAGCTGGTTCAGAATCATAAGCAGAAATTTATCATGAAGGTTATTAATGACATGTAAACGAGCTGAGCTCTGATCTTCATGCTGCAGTTTGACGTTTTCACCTGGAAAACTGATTAATGCTTTTAGATTCAAATAGTTTCCATTGGAAAAATAAACGTTCATTAAACATAAAAACGCTTCAAAATGTTTTCATTGGGATGAATTTAATGTGTTTAAATGAAAGTTGATTCATTTTTTAAAGGGACAGTTTTGTGTAAAATCAGCTGTTTTGATCTTTCCATCATATTTTAATATTTTATAAAAATCAAACCTGCACTTTGATCCCTTCATGGATCAGCAATCCTTTCATCTCCATGGCAACCATTCAGTTGTAAATGCCTGAGTGGGCAAAGCCCCGCCTTCCAGCCACAGCTCCTCCCCCAATCCGCTCCTTCAGACTAGCCGGCAGCAATTAGCAAACATCAGATGATCTCACTATAGGAGCTGCAGCTCAGAGCAGCATCAGTAGAAATATTAAAGGGTTAATAGAGGAGCCATGTTGGATGACTTCTTGGAGGCGGAGCTTCAGAAACAGCTGGAGCTTCTTAAAGAGACAGAGACCCAATATCAAGGTGTTAATTCAGGAAGTTTCTCTTCTGGTCACTTTGAACATTTATAGCATTTTTATAGCCACTGAAGGAAAAAAAGTTGCTAAATTAAGCTGAGAGATGTGATGATGTGAGTTTGTCTTCTCCAGATCGTCCATCCTGTCCTGAGGAAACCGGATCTCATTTTAATATGAATGAATTATCGGCGTCTCGGGTTCCTTCTCAGGTTTGAATAGAATTTGTTTAGCTTGTTAACCAACCAGGATTGTCGTGATGTTTAATAGCAATAACACTTTGTGTCAGGCTGCACTTTCCTCTGCCAGTAATGAAACCCAATAAGAGTTTTAACTTCTCATAAAAGACGTCATAAGAAGTCTTTTATCAGACTTGTTATGATTATGTGATTGAACTTTGAGTATTTATATACAAACCACAAAGTAACAGCGTTTTCCTCTGCCTGTTGTTCTGCTTTGCATCTCCAGGATAATTTAATCTGAAAACAGAGCAGAAGATCCTAAATGCAGATTCATGTTTGATTATTCAAATTTATAAAGCTCTGCTTTAAAAAACGACATCAGCCTGAGAAAATCACAACTTCAAACCAACGTCTGAGATTAAACCAGGATTAAGTCACAGAATCTGATAATCATATTGATTATCCCCATTACTGAACCCTAATCCCATTACTGAACCCTAATCCCATTACTGAACCCTAATCCCATTACTGAACCCTAATCCCATTACTGAACCCTAATCCCATTACTGAACCCTAATCCCATTACTGAACCCTAATCCCATTACTGAACCCTAATCCCATTACTGAACCCTAATCCCATTACTGAAAAATAGGTTTATTCAAAATTTATTATATTTTAATCAATTAAGCCACAAACGATATGAAATCAACATGAAGTTAAATCAATTCATTCTCAAGCAGTTTGTTCCTCTAAAAGATCATTTTGGGGATTTTTATTTTAATAGATGTTAATATAAATTTTGCTGCTGGATCAAATCTGAGGTCAAAGTTCAGACTGCTTCTGCAGACACTGAACAAACTAAAAGTTTTTTTCTGTTAAGTTTTTACCTGTTTATTTTCACTCTGACCTCAAAGCAACAGCAGGACTTTATGGAGATCTGGAGGAAGAGGAGAAAACTTCATCATGACCTTCTCTGACCTTCTCCATGGAAATGCGGCTGATTTGAATGGTTTTGACTTGCCAATAATTCAGGATGTTTGAGCCGAGAGGCAGAGAGTTTCTGATGACAGCAGAGACCAGAAGAGGAAGGATGGAGGCGCTCCTCCTCTTCATCACTGCTGCAGCAGGCAAGTTTCACTCACAAATATTCATTTGATTTATATTTTAATGATTCTGCTGTTGCTTTGGTTTGGAAACATTTAGTAAGTTTTTGTTTCGGTGAAGCAGATTAAACTCTCCCTGCGTCTCTCAGGCGTATTTTCTTCTCCTTCGTCTCATGAATATCGTTTCATTTACGAGCCGAAGACCTGGGCCGACGCTCAGAGTTACTGCAGAAGGATGACGAACTCAGACCTGGCTACTGTAGCAACCATGGAGGACGTGGACACGCTGAACAAGATGGCAGTCATGGACAACATGGTCTACACTTCTTACAGCTACGTAAGACGGCTTTCACTTCCTCTGAAGCAGAAACAGCCAGGAAATATCCAAAAACACCATCAATGTTACTGCAGAGAAACGTTTCTGTCACGATGAGTCACCAAAATACAGACAGGAGCTACAAACCACAGAGAGCAGAACAAAAAACAGCCAAAGATCCAGCAGAGAAGAAACAGAAAATACAGAGAAAAGAAAACTGAGCAGGACAAAAGTTTAAATACTGAACAAATCCGAACTGAGAGAGGACAGAAATAAACCCATTAAACAATAATTAGATTTAATTCAAGAAAAAGGAAAACTATGACTCAGAGAAAACAAAGAACCGGTTCTCTCTGTTGTTTCAGAGAGCCTGGATCGGACTGTACGACGACGTGAACAGCTGGCGCTGGTCCATGTCGGACTCTGGCTTCTACAGAACCGGAGAGGATTCGTTCAGGAAGTGGCAGAGAGGCGAGCCGGACAACTGGAAGAGCACCGAGCGCTGCGGGATGATGACCGGGGACGGGCTGTGGCAGGACGGGCCGTGTTCCTCCAGCCTGCGGCCCGTCTGCGCCGACATCACCGGTACCATCACTGGTACCATCACCGGTACCATCACTGGTACCATCACTGGTACCATCACCGGTACCATCACCGGTACCATCACCGGTACCATCACTGGTACCATCACCGGTACCAGTGATGGTACCATCACCGGTACCATCACCGGTACCATCACCGGTACCATCACCTGCAGACTCATGAAAATATGGACATTTCTGAGCTACAAAGGTCAAAAATCCTAGAAAAAATGCAGAAAGGTTCAAACTACATTGGTTGAAAATTTGTAAGAAAAGTATTCAAAAGTTTTGTGATTAATTTCACAAAATTAATCACTTTCTTTAAAGTAATGGGACATTTTTACGCTCCAAGGGTAAAAAATTTGCAAGAAAAACGTTAATTTTTAGCGTAAATTTTAGAAATTTTATAGAAAAAAAGAGTCCAGCTTGCTAAATTAAAAATTGCAAGAAAAAAACTTGACTTTCTTTGTTGTTTTATTGGCTCTGGGTGGCCTTTATCTGTAGAGAATTAAAAATGGGCAATGAGGTCGAAGACGTGAGGCAAAGGTCACCGGGCTGGGAATCGAACCTGTGATCCAGCAACCTTCACAGGCTTTATTTTAGAAACAATTTGGAAATTTTATTAACTTGAAAAGTCAAAAATTTGCAAGAATTTTTAAAATTAATTTCAAATATCTTTCTAGGCAAAACTTTGATATTTCCTGAATTCAAAATGTTAAAAACGTTCAAAGTAAGAAAAACAGGCAACTTTTCGAGTTCATAAATTTCTACATTTTTCATGTAAATTTTATGAGATTAATTCAACATTTCTGAGTTTTAAACTTTTTGAGCTCAGAAAATTTTCCTGACTTTGCAAGAAAATCTGTTGAATGAATGAAATGTTTTTTGTTGTAAATTTTCATGTCGTTAAGTTCAAACCTTTCCACAAGAGTTTTCCTGTCTCCAAGCCGCCGTATTGGGCTTCAGTGTTTCTGCAGAAGGTCTCAGGTTCTGATACATTCCTTGGTTCTGTGGCTTCAGGGCCCAGTGTGAGTTTCGTTCTGGTCCAGTCCGGGATGAACTGGACGGAGGCCCAGAGCTTCTGCAGGAAGCAGCACTCGGACTTGGCCAGCATCAGGAACGAGTCCGAAAACCAGCAGGTCCAGCAGCTGGTGCCGGCAGGAACCAAAGTCTGGACCGGACTGTACCGAGACGGCTGGAAGTGGTCGGATGGGAGCCGCTTCTCCTTCAGCTACTGGAAGGACACCGAGCCCAACAACAACAACAACAATGAGAAGTGTGTGATGGCCGTGTTTGACGCTCAGGGGAAATGGGAGGACTGGCCGTGTGACGTGAAGAAAGCCTTCATCTGCTCCACCTGTGAGTCTTCCTCAGCCTCTTCCTCCTGATGTCGCTCCCAGCAGCTCACGAACCATTTTGCTGTCAAAGCTTTTGTTTTTCAGAAGGTTGTGTCTGTGAGGCTGGAGAAACCCTTCAGCCTGGATCTGAACTCTGCAGCAGTGAAGGAAGAGCTGCTGAGTCAGGTACATCCACCAGCAGGTGGCGCTGCAGCGCCAACGCAAGTGTTAATGTTCTGCTGATGTAAAACCAAAAAACACACAATTTTAATCTGGATATTAATCTGCATAAATGTGATGATTCCTCCTCCTCCAGCTGCTGCTGAAGCTGAAACAGGAAGGACTGACTGCAGACGTGAAGCTGAGCTGGAGGAAACAGTCAGACGGAAACGTTTTCCACAAAGTGAAGGAGAAAAATCCAATATCAGTCTGAGAAGATCTGCTGCTTTCTTTATGAAGTTAATAAGCCTGATTATGTAACGTTCAGGCATTCAGCAGTTATAGTTATTATGTTCCCTTAGAATTAATAAAACATTCATTCAGGCATTAAAACAAACATATTTAGTTGCTAGATGTTGGTTTGTTGTATTTGTGATTAATTTTACTGCTAATGTTTGCAATAACAGCAATAAAGACAATGTTCAATTGATATGATGGCGCCGTCAATCAGTTCAGTCGGTTTGTTGCAATTTGTCCCGAAGTGAACAGTGAACATCCTTTGATGATTGTTTGCCATTAAATGCTGCAGTCATAGAGATTTGGTGGAAAATAATCAGAAAAGTGTTCAGTGATCAGTGGGACATGCAGAAAGCAGATTCACAGAGCATTTAGATGGTGGAATGAACTTTATCCCATTTTCCAAACTGGAGTCTGGAAAAATGTAAAAGAGGAGAAATGGCAATACACAAACATGTAAATATGGAATATATATGAATATATGTATGAAAACATCACCTCTGTTTGCTTTTCGTTACAATTTAAAAAGTTCAGAGCCAACCAGTCTACAGAGCCGCACGGTTTTTCAACCGTCGTTTGATTGTGGAGGTTGTCTAAGATTCAACTGCTCTTTTCCCACAGGCCTTGAAAACAGCAGTCATCAAACCACTGTTAAAAAAGAACAGGCCGACCTCTGACCTCTGTTGAAATAGAATTTTAAGTTAGCACAATACTGCACAGGATAGTTTTGACACATGAAATATAACATAGAAAGTTAAAGTACACTCTAGGTTCATATAAATTTAGATGAAACTAAAAACAACGGCTCAATCTCTGAACGCAGATAAATTCTTAAAGGAGGATCAGACAGAAAACAGTCTTAGACTCCTTGGATCTCTTTAGATGGGGAGTCTGTCTGCCAGGCAATTAACAAATTCCTGAGCATGGTTCAAAAGTTCACTAGGATCTTAAAACTTTTTATAAATAATTTTATCTATATTAGAATTAACTATATTTCTTTAAGCATGTTTTTAAATAGTTACTTATTAGATCCAAACTTATAGTCATTATTTAGCATTACATTGTGTGCAAGCTTGGTTAAAAATTACCAACTAGTTTCTTGTTAAAGCATCTTGAGGCAGAGATAACGCTGCAGTTCCACGCTGTAAATCAGGTGGGAGCCTGGTACGAGAAGAGCTGGAGGTTTGGGTCTCAGAGGTAATAAAATGAACATTAAGACAGCCCACACAAAGGAAAAACACTCCTCCTAATGCATATATTCAAATGAGGAGAATACACATTCTATAAATGATTTGTTTTACAGCAGAAGTCAGAATCTCTTTGTGCTGAGTGAGAGTTTCCCGGAGGATGCATCTTCTGTTAATCTTTTGTCTTTTTACTCAGGTCTTTGTCTCTGTTTTGTCATGTCTTGGACTTTTGATGATCTGGGTGAGATGCTTGTTGTAACATTCTGAACTGCATTGAATTCTTTGGATAAAACTCTGAATATCTGAAGTCTGACGTCGTATTATTGCTCTTTTCTCTCTGCACACTTACACAGACACAAGAATTCGGGACAAAGAATTAATTAACGAACTAAATCAAGTTATTCATATTTTTAATTCTTAACACCTCTCATTCATCAGCAAAGTTATTGAAAAAACTGTGTGTAAACAATTAAATAGTTTCCTCATGATGACCAACTGCTTTGACACTTTCCAGTCTGGTTTTCGTGCTCACCACAGCACGGAGACTGGCCTAGTCAAAGTATTCAATGATATCCATATAAATATGGACTGTGGGAGAACCCCGGTGCTGGTTCTGGTTCTGGTTCTGTTGGACCTCAGTGCAGCTTTTGACATTTTACTGAATGGACTGGAGAGTTGGGTTGGACTCTCCGGTTCGGTGCTCGACTGGTTTGAATCCTACATAAAGAACAGGGATTTCTTTGTTTCAATTGGAAACTTCTCATCAAAGAGGTCAAAGGTCACATGTGGGGTACCCCAAGGTTCAATCTTAGGACCCCGCTTATTCAATATTTATATTCTCCCACTAGCTCAGGTTATAACAGGAAATAATATTAGATACCATAACTATGACACACAGCTCTACATTATGATGTCACCAGGTGACCTTTGACCCCATCCAATCACTGAATAAATGTTTAGAACAGATAAATGTGTGGATGTGCCAAAACTTTCTCCAACTGAACAGAAACAAAACTGAAGTCATTATTTTAGGACCTAAAGAGGAACGATCTAGAGCTATAGATCTAGATCTGTAGATCTAGAGCTATAGATCTAGAGCTATAGATCTAGAGCTATAGATCTAGAGTCATAGATCTATAGCTATAGATCTAGAGTTATAGCTCTATAGCTATAGATCTAGAGTTATAGATCTATAGCTATAGATCTAGAGCTCTAGAGCTAGAGTTATAGATCTAGAGTTATAGATCTAGAGTTATAGATCTAGAGCTATAGAGCTAGAGTAATAGCTCTAGCTCTATAGCTCTAGCTCTAGAGCTATAGATCTAGAGTCAATGCACAGCTTCAGTTATTACAACTAAAAACTAGAGATCCTGGGAGTAGTGATGACCTCTGACCTGAACCTCCAGAGCCACATAAAGACAATTACAAAGTCAGCCTTCTATCACCTGAAGAACATCTCCAGGATTAGAGGACTAATGTCTCAGCCAGATCTAGAGAAACTCATCCATGCGTTTATCTTTAGTCTCATTGATTATTGTAACAGTGTCTTCACAGGCCTGTCCAACAAATCAATCCTCCAGCTGCAGCTGATCCAGAAGCTGCTGCTCCTGTTCTCACTAGACCCAGGAAGATAGAGACATAACAGCAGTTTTAAAGTCTCTCCACTGGATCCCTGTAGCTCAAAGAAGATTTTAAAATACTGTTGTTAGTTTATAAATCACTGAACGGTTTAGCACCACAATACATCAAAGATCTGCTGTTGTTGTATCAACCTTCCAGACTCTCAGGTTCTGGTTCTGGTTCTGCTCTGCATCCCCAGAACCAGAACCAAGAGAGGAGAAGCAGCTTTCAGCATCTATGCACCAAAAATCTGGAACAAACTTCCAGAAAACTGTAAAACAGCAGAAACCCTGACTTCCTTTAAATCTCAAGTAAAAACCAGCTGATTAGAGTTTTATTAGAAATGTAATATGGAACAATGTATTGTTGATTATATGTTGCATGACTTTGTGTTTATGACTTTGAAATGCCTTGCTGCTGGAACGTGCTATACAAATAAAATTAATTTCATTGATTGATTGTAAAGAATGACACACAAAACTGTGGAATAAATTCTTGTTTGCATCTTTATGTCGAAACGTCGTGGAAGTTTTTATTTTCCTCTTCAAATACTCGAGTGAATACAGAGAATAAATCTTGTGGCAACACATGAGTCTCAAACCGCTCAGTCTCTGGATCTGCAGTTTGTCCTCATCCTTCATCTCTTCCTGGAAACACCAACCTGTTCGGATCCAGTTCGAGACCAGAACCGCTCCTCCACGAATCCTGATGGTTTATCGTTTTATAGATGTAGAGCTTCAAGAGCCGCACTCATCACAGACGCATCATCAGGTCCTAAACTCCCAGCAGCCTGGAGGTCTGAGAGTTGATCTGCTGGGAGTTGATCTGGTGACCAGGCAGCGACTGACCGTCAGCTCCAGGCGGCGCGTCACACTCCCCGTCTTTTCTGTAAACTTTACAGTTTCATCTGTGAAGCTGTTTAATCTGGACGGATGTCCAGAAACTAAAGCTGAAGAATCGACTCCCAGAAAAAGTTTCTGGATGATTTCATCCTGGTTTCTGTTGCCCTGCTGCTTCCAGTCCATTCTCAGGATTTATCTTCCTCTTATCTTCTTCACGCCTGCTTTGAAAAATAAGTTTAATAATATATTTTTCAAAAAGTAGTCTGAAGCAGCAACAGATCCTCAAAGAGCAACAGGAAGTGATGTAACAGAGCTTCACCATGTGGCTCTCAGCTTTTCCTTACTTTCACTTTCACTTGCATTCTGCAGCAGCTGCAGCAGCTGCAGCAGCCAGCCTGTGGTCAGACTCTCCTCTGGATTTATCCTGCAGATCGTCTGCAGCTCTGGGATCTGCTGATCGTCCTGCTGAAACATCTGGAGCTTCGTTCAGGTAAAACCTTCAGTCTGTCAGCTGCATGAAGAACTTTCTCTGTTTCTGGAGTTTTTCTGTTCTGGCTGCTGATTCTCCAGTAACGTGGATCTGACATCATCTTCTGCTATTTTGGGCTCTTTATGTCTGTCACTCTGGTTTTTGGCATGATTATTGCTCCATAAAAGATTCATAAACTCATCTGGTCTGTTTAATTTTAGGATGTTTTTACCGTTTCGAGGATCGTTGTTGGTTTTATGCTAATTGAAAATCATATCAGTAATGAATGCAAACATGATATTTATTCATAAGCCAGAGTCAGCACTCATCTTCTGTCAGCCAATCAGGGCAGAGGTCAGTGTCTGATTTAGGCATTGGAGCAACAAGCCCCGCCCACCAAAGAGCCTGGGCGGAGCTAAGTAGACAAGTGTGAGGGGAAACGCGGCGTTTAGGGGAAGCTGCAGTCGGCCATTTTACTTTAGAGTTATGAATTCAACATGTTGGAAGGAAACACAACATTTAATGAACGAAGACGCAGAGAGACGCTGGGGGAAAATAACACCGAGAAGAAAAAGAGACGACTTCCTGTTTCCTCATCAACATCCAGATGTTGATCATGTGACTCAGTGAAGAAACGGTTTCAGTTCAGCTGAAAACAAACATTTACTGAAAAATGAGTTTTTTTCTAAGTTGATGTGTTTATTAAGGGAAACAGGTTGAACCTGCTCTTACTAATATTTTACTAATAAATATTAATAAATATTCTGCCATCTTGGTGAAACCTGAATTTCTCGAGCGTTTCTTCCTGATTTATTTCATCAGAGTCGTTTCCTGTCGAAGGTTTTTGGTTCCATTAATTATGAGATTCTACCATAAATCTGAGTATTTGGCTTTGATTGGTTCACTGATTGTGTGGCATGGTGCCGGGCCGGGCCCAAACAGAACAGAACCTTCATGTGAAGCTGCTGCTGTTGTTGTTGCTGCTGTTGCTGCTGCTGCTGTTGTTGTTGCTGCTGT